GCTTCCTGTGTAGTTAATTCCTAGATCGTGTACTGATTTGAGTGTTTGGACTCTGCTTTTATTTAAATGAAGTTGCAGATTATAGGGATGTTTTCCAAAGTGCGAGATCCCACACTTGTTGGGGTTAAATGGTAATTTCCCTTTTTCACTCCATATGGTTAGGTTTTTGAGGTCCTTTTGGATCTGAGATACACTTTCGCCTAGAGTTTCAGGCTTATAGCTGTATACTACTTTGAGATCATGTGCATATAAGTATGGTTCCCCAAATTTTATGATGTTATATATATCGTTTATGTACATGAGAAACAGGAGTGGACCTAATAAGCTCCGCTGGATGACTCCACTAGTTATTTGCCTAAGTGATGAGAGACAGTCATTATACTTTACCATCTGTTTACGTTCTGTTAAGAACGAAGCAAACCATGAGTACAGCGGGTTATTTATTACAAAGGACTTTAGTTTGACGGGAAGCCTTTTGTGTGGGACCTTATCAAAGGCTTTCTTAAAGTCTAGGACTGATGCAAGAAGTCCATTTTCTCGTTTCAGAGTTATATCATTCAGGTAGTCTACTAGGCACGTATCGCATGATCTGGACCTAAGAAATCCATGCTGGGAGGTCGATATGAGATTATAAGTATCTAGATGTTGAAATACAGCCGCATTAACTGCTTTTTCCATCACTCTAGATACCACTGAAGTTATATTTATGGGCCGGTAATTGTCCACATTTGCTTCAGGTCCTGTTTTCATTTTGAAAATGATATGTGTAGTTTTTCAGGCATTAGGGTAACACGCTGTAGAGAGTGATATCGCGAATAGTTTGAGAAGCAAAACACACATATCATCACCTCCACGCTTTAGCACGCTAGCTGGAATACCATTTGGTCCGTCAGTGTAGGAGTGTTTCAATATACTAATTGCCTTGGAGATATTTTGTACATTGAAGTCTACATTAGTAGCCCGTGCAAGCTGGTGTGCTCTTAAAGACCAAATGTTACCTATTTACATAGCATGCACTGATAAGAGACTTCCCAATGTGACGCCAACATGGAGTACCGGTGAAGTGCAAGTTATCTAGCTGGGAAACTTTGCTTAGCGGAGTGCTCCGGAATACTGTTCGGGGGTCGATATAGCCCCTCCTGTATGTAAGTCAACTTCCCCGTCTCTTATCATCATCGGTCTTGCTATATGCAGATGATGTCAAGACGTGAAGAGCGATAAAAGTAAAGGTGATAATTTAGGGGTCTAAAATTTGGCAGTTGCTGATAAATGCTTCCAAGTGCATCGTGATGTGTATTAGTCATCAAGGTACAGGTAAATAAACAGTGAATAACAGTTGACTATCTGTTGTCCAGACACACAATCACTTGGGAGTCATTGTTAGCCAAGATTTAAAAACTACTGCATACTACAGAGCAATAACCACCAAAGGCTTTACAACCCCATGGTCAATACATAGAGCCGTTAGCCAAATCGATGGTAAAAACTTTCTGGCTTGGCATACAGTATTCTTTAGTTATAACCTTGTGTTCTGCATAAAACCAGCTAGCCCCCTAAGTGAGCAAATGGAAAAGGTTCAGAGAATAGTAACTAAGTTTATCCCCGGAATAGTAAAGCACCGTATGATGCCTTACTTACTAAACTAAACCTATTTCCAGTGTCGATGTGACCACAGTATTTAAATTACCTAACATCTTTTATGCCCCTGCTTTTATTGTCTTCCGAAACAGAATTTAGGAGAGCACTTCAAAAATCGTTCACAAGTCCAAAACAAACATCGTGTCAGATGACCACGGACTTTTAAATTGAATCGCCAATGAATGGAATTTATTAACTTAACATGTGATTACAGCTCCATCTGTTGACGCTTTCAAAATAACGTTTGGTCAGCTGAGAGCCCAACATTGCCAGGAAAAACATAAGCCATCTAGCCTCCTGTCCATTCCAAATTGAAGCTAAAAACTGAAACTACGTCATACATCCTTATAGATTCAGATTTGTATAGTACAGACAGTAGACCTGTGTTATTACTTTTCTAGTATGCTTCTGTGAGTGCCTAGTCTTCTCAAGTGAAGGTGTCTGCATGAAGACACCAATGCTTCATACAACAGGTTCCAAGAACTGACGACTCAATATGTACACCTGTATGCCACGAGTATTTCATTCGTTCTAGGCCTTGCTACTCGTCTGCTATGTCCTCTGGGATGTCCCGATCTAGTGGGAAGGAAAAGAGAGGGTATATTAGGTCCAAAACCATTTCTTAGTATTCTTGTAGTGGCATTGGACAATAACCACACGATCTTCAAAGCTGAATACGAGATTGCTCGGAAAATAGGTATTCAATATTTAACGCGAAGAAATACCTAACGATAGAGGAGGCGCGAACAATGAGTTGAATGAATTGGAGTTGATTGAATGGCATGGCTCGGCCATGCAGGCGTGGTCCCTGCTGAATATTACCTTATATCTTTTATTCATATCAAATATATTATCCTTTCTCTAGCCTAAGCTTGTTCTTCATCATAAATTGGTAGTTGTTACGATACAGTGAGTTGGTGTAGATGATGATGTGACTTCCACGTAAGATCTTATAGATTAGGCAGTTATATCATGACAAATTTAGGATTAAGTCTATTATTAGAGCAGCACTAATATTATAGTAGACCATAGTTCTACATTCTATACATCAAGATAAAATCACCTCTTAACTTGGAATAGGACAGAGTGAAGAGCTCTAGCCTTTCAAGTCGCTCTTGGTATGGTAAACTCCGGAGTTCTGGAATTGCATGGGTAGCTGCCCTCTGCAGTTTTTCCAGGATATCCAAGTCACCTTTTAAACAGGGGCTTGCAGCCTGAACGCAGTTCTCAAGTTCAGTTCTCACTAAGGTTGAGTATACCGTAGTGAGTATGGTAGTATTTAACTTGGGGAATGTGTAACAGCTTAGGTTTATTAGTTAAGAATCGACCTCGAACGATCAAGTATATGTCAAAACAATAGAGCCCAAGTATTCATTCACTTTCTTAATTTGTATAGACATTATTTTTCCTATTATCTTGTGTTGAATGTTGGAAACATTTGTGCGTTTGAATAGGTAGTCCCACTCTCCACTGTGACTGCACAAAGATCTAAATGAAGAACTTTTCACTACTAGTCTGCATTCTTCTATCAAAAGAACGAGGGTCGCCTACCGACACGAAAAATGTCCGTATTAAAGCCCGTAGGCTTCCCAACCCCATTAACTGCAACCTCCCGGCAATGGACTGTGGTCTTAAGATCCTGACTCACCATCACCCCAAAATTGTTGTAAGACCAGACCACAGATACAGCAATTCCGCTATGCTGTGACTACTAACTTTCATATCCCCGAAGTGCATGTAGACGCACCGTGCCTCGTTGATGGGCATCAGTCGCGTTTTAGACCAGCTAATCAAAATATGCAACTCTGCCCGAAGTGCGCATGCATCTGTGTATCCTGGTATTTCTCACCAGATTTTCACATCGTCAGCGTATATCAACATTTAGGACTCCACTATACTTGAGGGATCATGCACATACAGTATAAAAGTGAAGGACTTAAGACAGAATCTTGCGGTACCACACTAAGTACTGGTTTCCAGGAGGCGTAATTTGAATTTATTCTTACTTTCTGTCTATGACCTACCACGAAATCCTTAAGCCATTTTAGTAGAGCTCTGGCAATGACAAGATTTTCCAGCTTTAATAGTACCTTATCAAATGCTTTGCTAAAGTCTATGTAGACAACATCCACTGATTTTCCGTTGTCTGGAGCCTTTATCCATTGCTTTCTTGATATTGGGAGGTTTGTTGTGCAGGATGAACCTTTTCTGAAACCATATTGTTCGTTGTTTAACAGGTTGTTGGTTTTCGCAAACGTCATTATTGTCTTTTTGACTATTCTTTCCAGTATTTCAACTACGACACTGGTGAGACTGACAGGTCTGTAGTTCGATGAAAGTCGTCATGATCCCGTTTTATGTATGGGAGTGGAGATCGCATCCTTCCAGTCTGTAGGTAACACACTTTGGTCAAGTGACATATTGAATATCATAGAAAGTCGGACTGCAATATATTGCGCAATTTTTCTCAGGAGGTCGTGCTCAAATCTAGCTTTTGGTTCCCTTTCGGAAGGTTCTCTTAACGCATGAAAAGCGACTGATATGTCAGCGAGGCCCGTCTTAACACGCTGTAGGGTTTTAATTCCTGAAGACCGATTTGGCGTCAAGCACAGAGGTCCCACTCCGTTTCCGTACTTTTCTTTTCCTGGATGTGACTGTGAGCTAATCACCTGCCTTATTATATCTCTTAATTATATCATCCATACCGCCTAGGCTTTGCTCCCCCATAATCTATTCTGCGTTGATATGTGAATCCGGAACTGAAACCGTAGATACACATACGTTGGCACTGTCAATAGGTAGTTTCTTCTCACCATGCTTTTTCTTTTTTCAATTGACAATGCCTACATCTGTATGTATTCTAACCGTTCCTCTAATGGGGTTCACTTTGATGGTCTTACTCAAATCCAAAGCTGGGTTAATGATTACGCTCGCTATTTCCTTGAAAACTGAATCCGATTCATCTACTGCTGTTTGTTTATCTGAGGACAATTTTCTAGCGATGTTCAGTAGCTCAATCACCTCAAGAATCAGCAGGGACTTTGTAGAACGGCATACTTTGCATAGCCAACGTGACAGCGGCTTGCAGAAATTTTTATATGCAGCCGGTGTGAGTGCGGTGCACACATTGTGATACCACTTATCGCAGTTGTCACACTGAATTCCATCATCCACTGGAAAAAAGCATGCAGGCCTTCCACATGGCATCACTTTCATCACTTGACGGATGGATGTTACCAGACAGTGTACCTAAATTCAAATCAAATTCAAAGTTGTCTTGAATTGACCGCTTCTACAAAACCTTGCGATTTGTCGAGGTGACGCACGAATCGTTGTACAACAGATTGACCTTCAAAAGCTCAGTAACCTTCGTCAGTAGACGGTGCTACATCGTTGGCTTTGACTTATAGATTGAACGTGTGTCTTGTATCGATGTAGTCCCTTTTCTCGGTAATGTGGGTTTGAAATTATAACTTATCTTTTCAAAGGAAAACTTATTCATCTACGTACATTGATGTCTATTATTTGGCATATTTACTTGATACTGTTCGTCTCCAATCTTGATTGTGGTGGGTAATATTGTTCAATACATATCTGAGACTCCATATGCTTCTACTTAATGATATCAGTATTTTACTTTCTTGTTACATATACTCAGTTCCCCGGTAATGTATCCAGTACTTTTGTCCAGAACAAGGACTTTAAAGTTCTCAATTGAGAACACTAGGAATGTTACTGCAGTAGCATTACAAACGATCTCATGAGATCAGGAATTAAGAGGGATGGTGTTGTATCTTAAGTATATGGAATGTCTATTACTGAAACATTTCTTCTGATAGCTTTAGAGATAAATAATGGATTCAAAAGGCTGTTGTTGTGCACCATATAGTTGATTATGTTATTTCTAGCTGCTTCTATTGAATATTATATTGTAGGTGTATGGTATTGTTAGTTTTGTCAATACTTTCCAGTTTTGTGTTTGCAAACTGCAGAAAATGTAAGATACTATCCTCATGGAATTCGAAAGTTTTCGTGTGTGTAAGAATTCGTAGTTATTTAAGTTACCCTAAAACTATTAACCTAATTTTCAGTGGTGTATTTCACTTCTTATATTCCTCAATTGTTTTTGCAATTTCCCATATGGTTCATAAGTGTTGTCGTTACACTGGTGCTTTTACACATGAGAAAAGACAATATATTCAGAAGAGCTAATAAAATACTGTCATACGTTTGTCAAACGATCACATGAATCTCTGTTACTTAGATTTCCGGTAAAGAAATTTGAACTGTGGTCATAGTCGCATTCCTGAAAGCAGTTATTCACAAGTTAGAATACATAATTTATCCTAGGTTAGTTAGGACAATTGTAATTCATAAATGTAGGTATAATGCTGTTACTTATATGACTATTGTAGTCTTGCCAACCCCGATAGAAACACTATTTTGAGGCATTACTTGACACTACCAAGGGTATGTCAGGTGGTAATCACAAGCGACAATTGATGTTACATAGTGAAAAGCAAAATCAGTGTCACAGCATTAAGAATTCCCACCAGATATATCTACGCGGTGGTGACGGTTAAAGACCCTGAATGACATACATGGCTCAGAATCATTTGCTAAGGAGCAGGTGTATCCACTCTCTGTGTTCTCCCAAATTCTAATCTTCTGAATTCTTCAGGTCCCCTTCTTTTTTCTCTTTCCAAATTTATTTCACTGGATTATACTCCTTGAATAATATCTTCAAACCCCAATCTTTCGGATTACTGCTTATACTCTCAATACTTCTACCACCACGGGATTTGAATCGACAACTGCACCTATGTGCTAATATGGTGTGGCGATTCGAAGTTCTACGTTGTTACTGACTGACGGGGTGTTGAGTCAGTGTCATTCATTCTTATCGTTTACTAATTTATCCCCTTTCTCCTTCCAGAACATGATTCCACTACAAGTTAGGCCCCTATTTATGTGTATACTTCAACAAATTTGTTAATTAAATTTTCTCTTAAATTTCCTTCCGATTGTTTTATCACTAAATAGTTTTTAGCTAAAGATTGTTATTCAAATTCCAGACATATTGAGAGGCTTCGCTTTTAATTACTACGTACATTTTTATTTAACGTTACTAATTCAAGTGAAAGCGAAATGTCTGAGTTCTGATCGGAACGAGTACAGTATTTTGTGAAATATTTGTCATCTCATCAAATTTGTGTGAGGGCTGTGATACTACTCGGGTTCCCAAACCGAAGCAGGTGACCTTCTTAGGGGATACCACACCTAGAGAGCAGTTTCGCTCTATGCTTGTGAAACCTGGCCTCTCCGGATTGAGAATGTTAGACAACTCTGTGTTTGATCATCGTTTTCTTCGAAGGATTGCTAACACCCAGTGGCAATACCAATACCGACTTCGATGACTTGGACATGTTCCACGAATGACATTCTGGAGAATTCCTCGTCGTTCATTATTTGTTTACTTTGGGACTGGTTGGAAAAATCGGAGAGGTGGTCAGTGTATGACATGGTGTTGTGGTATGAAAGAAAGCTGTACGGGACTGCCTTCTGTTTGTCCTTCACAACTCTCTGGTTGAGGTCCTATCGATGATGTAACAGTGGCTAGAGACTTGATCATATATGGGTAAGAATAGAAGCCAGTGGCGACATTGCTGTCACTTTCTTTTACTTTCTTCATAAAGAAATGAACTTGACTTCTTCAACTGAATGAATTTTTTCTGGTTGTACATTTCTATTTCCTCCATTTTTATTACTATTTCATTACCATGCACTAATTTGTGGTCGGTATTGTCCTTTTTTTCTTTTTACACACCTTACATTTTTTATCTCTTCCCATTCTCATTATTATTGTGTGGCGCATATGTATCTGGTGCCCCCCCCTGTACCAATATTTGTGTTCAAATAAATAAATACTAATTCAGCGTTTGATGCGATCATGTATTATAAAATGGAGTTTGCTACAAGAAAACATTATTATTATTATTATTATTATTATTATTATTATTATTATTATTATTATTGCCTTATTTGATCTTTATTATGATATCGATATATAATATAGAGAGTGATATACAGTCATATTTGAATTGTTTATAGGTGTATTAAAATCAGTAAATAATATGAAAGCCTCTGTATTACTTATGAACTTTTAGTTGATTATACTGTTTTACATATTTTTCTATGCCTAGTATATTAGTTATTTGCTTATATGCTTTTACGCTGTCTCCTAAAAATATTTCAGAAAACGGATATACGATTCAAAACCATTAAAAAATATTCACAAGCATGTTGATTAGGTTTTTCATAATGAATATTGTATGAAATTAAAGCTAGTCTTCAATCAAACGATATATTTAGATACTGACCCTTTTCAGAACTTGATAAATGTGTGTACGAAAAACATTTGGTTGCACCTACACAAACACCAATAAAAAACGTGTAAAAGACGAGGAAATCTGATCTTTCTACTTATCACCTACATTTATTAAATATTTCATCATTCTACCTTATTTTGTTTCTCCTATCAGAATCTTCCTTTAATGTGGCACTGAGTGCAAGCGATCCCGTTGGTTCAACATTTAATCAGAGTTTTACTTATGGTGTGACCAATACTGCTCCTGATGCTTCTACTAATTTTTCTATTACTGCCACTGCCACCACAAATTTGACCACTACTACTGATGGGTTTAATCAGTCGAGTAAGTTAAGGATTGTCCACAATTTCCAATCCAGACGTATGTTATTTTATGTTGTGCAGTGTATAATTGCAATGTGGAGCGAATATTTGACAGGACATTCAATGATAGGTTGATTGAGCCGTGTAGAAACTGACATTCAAAGAAGGTTGAGGTTTTTTCATGCAGGTATCATAGTGACATTAATGATAATAGTAATTTACTTGTTATTATCAGTTGACAAATGACTAAAGTGACAAAACAGATCGATTCAGTGGTAAGATGTATATTTCTGTGATATCAATTTTTAGTGTCGCCCATCTTTGATTGATTTACACTTCCATGTATTATTGTAGCTTTCGTAAGAGTCGTTTGGTAGAATGTTTTAGGCCTTACATTTTATCAGTTTCTGTTGGTTTGTGCTGAGTGTGTGCATTATTCCAGTTTATGTTCCTCAGTTCACTCGTATTCTTGGTTCTCAGATGTCATTTAATACTGTCGATTAATGATTTCTTTGGAGCAGCTGAATGCACTTTTTCTGTCTTCAAAATCTTGATTTTAATGTTATTTCATACCTTTATTTCGATATCGCTTACTAATTTTAAGTTATATTTCTCATATTTTGCTTTTTATTGTATATCACTTTATTCTCTGTTTTTGTTGTTGACTTCTGTCTTTGTTAATATGAGTCAATATAACCCATATCGACGCACATACGTCCTAGATCCTAATTTGTTTACTACTGATTAGCTAAACCGGATATTTTTGTCTTCACTAGCTTAAATGCGAGAACAGAGCGTTATCTGAAGTTCGTTTATTATGACGTAGAAGACCCTAGTTTTTTGGTTACTTTGTCAAAGTGTTATCTTCCCGAATATTTTGAATGAAGTAACATGGAATTCAATACAAAGAATTTGACTACACTGAATCGTGATTTTAAAGAAATGTTTTACTTTAATTAGATTTTGTTTAAAGTGATATTGACTTTCATCTCCAGAAATTTAGATTTCTTAAAAACTTAATTTTCTGAATCTCATATTTTCATAGAATTCTGTCATCATTCAAAATTGTTACCTCCGGAAAATGTCACAATCACCAATGTCACATCTGATTCCTTCGATATTAATTGGAATTTACCACGTCTTTATAATCGGCTGAATAAAGTTGTCTACGAAATATTGATAAATAGTCCACAAAGATTACCAATAATCATTAAAAATGTCTCAAATTGTTTTCAATTGACAAAAAGGATTGTAAATTTAACATCATGTTGGTTTTATATTATACAAATCAAAACACATGATATGTTATGGATGAAATCAAGTGATTGGTCAAATCCAGTATTTACAGCTACATTATTACCACGTATGTCATTAAGTCAACAGTTATCTAAAATTTTCATATTGCGCGGAAATGAGAGTTACGTCTTTGAGATACGACTGAGATGTTTACCAGATTACAATTATTTGGTGTCAAATTTCAGGATAAGCTTAAACTAGCTGGTGAACCATTAAAAGTCAGGAAGCCCTGAACAGTTTATTTGCCCTGGTTTAAAACACATTAGAAGTGGACACTTACTATTTCAGACTTTGAACTTACGATTCAAGCGGTCAGTACCATATTTTAAGATCACTGGGTTGAAACCCAACGGTTCACGTTCTTAACTTATGCTAATCCTCGATATGACCATTGACTATACATTCCTATCTTATAACTTACTGCAGTAGTTTTAACTACTGTACATTAATTGTAACATATAATAACACTGATCAAAGTGTCAAATACAGTTCAGCTAAAAGACCACAAGTTACTGAAGAGGTTTACCTCGTCTTTGTGTATTGCTCCACAATGATACATTTGCTTGTCTGAAATTATTCTGGTGAATGACCCGCATAGTTAAATGCCGAATAGTTATGAATATGTTAATTTAGTGCATGAAAATATTATGAACTGTCCTACTATTCGTTATATGAAATGTCTACTGAATTTCTAAGCTTAAATTAATCAAATGTATTAGTATGTGGTTTTGTGGAGATTATAAAATTTTCAGTTTTTAAATCACAAAGTAACCTGAACTGTTAGTTGATTCAAGTTAGACATTAAAACCGCTGGATTACGGCTCAGTGATCAACGTTTACTCGCAAAAGTTTATGCTCTGGGTTTGATTCCTTTTGGCGGCATCGTGGATGCTCATTGCTGAGGAGTTTATACTACAACAAAACAGATGTCCAGTGTATCCCGGATTTTAATTACGGTCTAGCCCAGATCAGTTCGTGATTCGAAAACCATGGATAAATTTAATATTCTTTATCTATTTATTCGGAATAGTGATGCAAATTAAAGTCGAAAATCATTAGGATGTATCTAACATTTAACACTCAATTTATGAAATCATTCTTCTTACAAAGATACTAAATTTGTCCAGTGCTTAGATCCATCGACACTTTTCCGATGATGAGTATCACCACAGATTATAATATCAGTACAGGGGATCATGAAAAGTCCATGCGCAACGGATAGTTGTTTCATATTCACGTTTACGAGTGAGTGAGTACTCACCTTTTCATTTAAAGTAGTAGTTACAACCCTCATTACTAGGTTTCAATGCAGTGTTTTTTGTTTACTAAATAGGGATTTTATGGTTCATAGTTCCAAATTTAATCCAACTTTATATAATAGAGCAGCGATTATTTAACATCAAATTCATCTAGCCTTACACTAAGTATACAAAAATAAAAGTAATTTAATATTGTCGTTTAAGAAACAACTTAAATTTACATTACAATTACAAAATTTAGAGGAAACTACGATAAACGAATCAAGTTAACTGCAATAAATGTTATTTGCAAAAAGAAAAAGGCTAAACAGGTTATAAAATTGTGAGAATTAGTTACTCGTACTGAACTGTGAGTAAAAAATATCCATTCTCTAATTATTTTTACTCGTATTTGTGACTGTCCTTAATGTTGGTGTTTAGAGTATCTTGTTTATATAATAGTGTACAAGTCTAATATCAGATATATCTAAACTGCCGGTTACCGTTTTTCAGAACCGATTACTTATTATGAATAGCAAACTAACTGGTTACGATGATTGTCGACTTCAGACAAACAATACAGAAAATACATCAAATTTACATTTCCCGCCAAATACATGAATACTATATCGTGTATTGTAGTATCATACTAGCTTCACTTTCCAAACAGTCAACGGGAAATGCCATAAACTGAAATTCAACGGGGATATTTCACAGAGTTTATCTTCTAAATCCCAGTAAACCCGGTAGTATCTTTCTTCGTAAATAACATGCATCATGATTTATGGAAAAAACCAAACATTCTGAAGTATAGAATATCTTAAACTTGGGATTAACTGTGTTCAGAAATTCGACAGTGTAAGTGCTTTTTGACTAATGAGTATCTATCGACAGTATAATCATGCAGAAGAACTCCCGTTAATAAGCTTACTACTAGTATGTATTCATATGTTAACCACAGTCCAATGGGCATTCTGTATCATAAGATTAGTAAATTTCTGTTAGTAAGAAAGGAAATTTATAGAGACTCTTTCATTCAAATCCAGATTTCAACTTCAGTTCGTTCGTGATATATTGTAATTCACACCTTTGAGATATAACTCAACTGATGTTGCTCCAATCCAAATCATTTCTATTTGTTTACTTATATTTATTTAATCAACTTAGAACATGTCGTTCAAAGTCATTTTGAAGTAGAAAATATGTCTCCAACTATTCAAAAAGTGAAGTGGAGTAAATTTACTGTGCCTAATGAATGTATGGCACTTATTCAATTATTACAAATGAATGAAAAAACCTTCATTGAGTTAATTACCAGTGTGGCAATAAATGAAACAGGTAGTCATTTCCATAGTTTCTATAAACATTAATAAGTTTTACTATACTATTAGGAGAGATTTGTTGAGATTCTTTAAACAGTTTATCATAAGAGTTTATTTAAACAACCTCTGAGAACCTGGGATCAGCGGTAAGTGTTTTTCCTTAGTGGGAGAATACTCGGTCGTGCCCACCTATGAATCCTTGATGTATTAAGCTGACAACTCATGGGTTTCTAGTTGGAGTTCAATAGGTGATTGGTTGTTTACCTAGTCAGACTAGTAGATAGTCTGACATTTTCCTACCCTTATTATTATTGTTATTTTAATCGGTTGTTGATGTGGAAATATACTCACATTCTAGTCGGACCAATCAAATATGCTTGGTCCGAGTCATGTTGATGTCCTGTAGAATAGACACTGGGAGGGTATCTAGTGTAGATATTCGTTTAAGGTAAATTATTGTCCCATTGGTGTTAGGAAGAGAGAAGTGCGTTGTTTCAATAAGCTATATTTTTAATTCCAGCAGAATTCAGTTTGCAATATATGAACTATGTATAAATTTTAACAGTTGAATTCATGAATCAATTTAAGCCAGACCATCATTGAAAACATGGAGGCACTGGATGGCCGTTTCGTCCTAGTGTGGGACTCCTTAGCAGTGCGTATCCACGGTCCCGCACGTGTTATTCAAACCTAGGACCTTCGGTCTCGTGCGCGAATGCCTAACCTCTAGACCACTGAGCTGGAAGCCAACGCACCATCCAATGCTTCCAGGCTTTAAGTAGTGGTCTAGTTTAGGCTGATTTGTGAATTCAACTGTTAAAATACTATAATCTCCACAAATCCCCATACTGATATGTTTTGATTGTAATTTGTCAGTTAGATCGTGATTTAAGTTTCTATTAGTAGTTAATTTGGTTAGCAATTAAGTTTAAACAAATACTAAAAGCACGTCTTGCTTATTACTAGTAATACGTGATCTCTTGTAGCTACGAATATTTTAGTAAATGTGAAAGACGTCTATAAGTGAATAATTTTTCGAGTGACCCGTCACTAACTACTGGGCGAAGATAGACATCCTCCTGTGCTAAATTGTGAAATATTTTATAATATTAGTTTCACTGTAATTTTGTTTGGATTCCACACTGTGTGACTCCTCTGTAATTTATGTGAACAAAATGTGGTTCTCAATCGTTTGGTTTGATATTGTGTAACTGTGTATCACGTTATCTAGTTTAGCAGTCTAATTATCTAGTGTGCTCATTGTATTATCTAGAATATTGTCGTTCCATCTGGGATTCCTTATCAGAAGGCAAGTTTTCGTTGTTTTTACGGTAAATCAAGTAGTTAATTAGTGGAGTCGATTCAAACGCTGCTATTATTAGAGTTAAATAATAAATTACTTGTAAAAATCTCTACGTTGAATTATTTCGTTTCTAGCATCCATCAAAATCTAATATTGCACGTCTACTATCAAACCTGTTTAAGAGCAATGTTCTAATGCTTTATTGAAAAAAATATGCATGCTCTGTATACAAGAATCTAACGAGTTTTACATTTTGTCGCTTTTTATTAATTTCTGTTGGTATAAGGGCTTTTTGATTAAATATTTCAATGTTTCTTTTATCTACAATTTGTTTATATTGGGGCTAATAGCTATTATCGTGAACCTTATTTAATTCAACAGTGTAAGAATTTAACACTATGAAACGTAATTATTTATTTGCGATTGTAATGTATTTACAGAATATACATTCTATAATTTGGTACCATCAACTCAATATACGTATCATCTGAAAGTGATTTCACCATTTGGTAATTATTTAGGGCAGCATATTTCAATAACTACAAAAACTTTACCTTTGAGTAAGTGTATTACATTTGATATATTCATTTGTAACGCTAACTAGAAAGGAAAAATATTCTGTAAATAATATTTCACTATGAGACTGTAAATTTTTGATTGGGTACTTAATGCTTTTTGTTTTAGTTTATTTCCTACATCCCACGTTGTCAGGCAGTTGAAAACATGACTTAAATTCCATATTTCTCTAAAGCCATTAACTAACCATATTTATTCATATTCTTTAAAGTGATTTTAAATGATCCTGTTGAACATTAACCAGGAAAGTTACCGCTAACGCAGTTCTATTTATGACTGTAGAAAACCAATGTACAGATACTAATTAGTCTTATTTGATTGAAATGAATACTCAAAAGTTGAAGGATTCATGGAATACCGTGTTACGACTGATTTGAATTTCTATACAAGATATAGAATATGAAGTTTCTGAATTACTAGTCGTCATTAATTTCCTGTCGGCACTGGGTTTTATGGATGAGCTCATTTTCAAAAAGTATTTACACACTGACTAAGTTCTAGATATCAATAACTATTTACTGCAGGGTTATCTCTGAATTCAAAGTTCTTGTTCAGGGGCATCCTCCATAGTTTTCTTGTTACTCGTGTTTCAATTAATAAACATAGATAGGTAGTCACTGTTGTCACCGAATTTCAAGCTACTAATTATTAGTTTTGTCTAGAATGACTTGTCTAGTTTTCCAAGAACGAAGGAGAAAATGGACAAGATACTTTTTCTGTTAAGCTGTACTTAAATTCTGTATTATGTCAGATATTTTATTGGCGAACTGTATTTGTGTAAGGATGGCTTACAGGTGAACTCGAGGAAGCTCTAAGAAGCTCGGAAAGAGTCAAAGACTTTCTGTCTAATAATCTTTTGAAGGAACATTCCAGAATCTCGACGCTCAGCTACTCTATTGGACAAATGCTTAAAATCACTGCACGCGAATTAGATGACTATAATGATGAGTTCGTTTTTATTAAGAACTCTAAATACCTGAGAGTTTTGTACCATATTTAGTACTGTTTTGAATAACCTTTCTTCTCACTCGTCTTCTGTCTTTTCACTTGCGACTCGGAGGGTTCTAGCGTTCTAGTGCTCAATTTGTACGCGGTATATCACGAATCTAAGCTCTAGATATAACAGTTTGAAAAACTAACTTTAAGCAAAGTTGTGATGCCTTAGTTCCTAAATTAAACATTTTTTCTATGGAAAAATAAAAAATAATTTATACAAAGGAAATCTGCACAAGATGTACACGTACCATCTAAGACTGATCAAAATTCAGTCAAGAACATTAACAATGCAATAATAATACAAACCTTTACAAATTATATTCATTAAATAGGTTGTGATGAAACATTAGACCTAATAAATCAGTTCTCAATAACAGCAAAAACTATTCACCAATCATCTTGAAAGTAGGTCTAATTCAATCCTTTACTTTACCGTTTAGATTTACAACAGATAAAACAACTCTATTCATTTCTGTTTTATTCTTTTTCCTGAAATAAGCTATAAAATTCCAGTGGGTCATTCAAAACGATCCAAATTTAATGTCTACGTACTGGTTTAATTTTTCAACAATGTTAGTATAGTTAATTTTTCCCGATGTTGCTTTTCAGCACTGTATTTGACCATTCATAACACATTATTTGAACAGATTCATCAATATTGCTTGAGGTTACAAGTTTTCAACAATCTGTTTACAAAAAGTATGTACAGATTTTCTGTTGACGTGGCAGTCTTAGTATTTGCTAGGTTTGAAGCTATTACGAGTTCACTTAGTATAAGAACGGAACAAAGACTTGTGACCGTAGACCGATAAGCTAGCTGTTTGATGCGTCCCAGCTCCACCAACTAGAGGAAGAAATCCAAGCTTGGAACGGGAAAGTATATTCCGTAAGCCAGAAGCACGAGTGAAAACTGTCCTTGGGAAGCGTAGCAAAAACAGCATACTAAAAATACACAACGGACCAATAGCGTTAAAGATTCTCACAAGTGGGAAATACGTTATGAATGTGAAAAGTGCGCTTTTGGCGCGAAAACAAGGAAACGTAAATTTCTAAAATTATAAAATTAAGGCATATACCAATTGAGTTCTGGGGATCTAACATCTTCAACAGTATAGAATCACGCATTGATCTCTCTGATAAAATGTTTGCGTTATTTAATCTTCATTACATTTTCTTTCATTAACTTCCCTATTCTACATTCTTTTCTGTTTTGCATAATAACGTCTTGAATTGTGTAATGAAGTACATTTTTTATTTTTTCACATTAATTTCAACTATTGATAGAAGGTCTACAATTTGGATGAAATATAAATATACAGCATATGAAATTGAATTTATTCACAAGGAATTTCATTAAATCTGCCCTTAGTTTTTTGATAATAAGTTAATAATGTATTTTGGATTACTTTCGGATCCATTTAATTTTTAGCCTTTCAAATTATTTCACTATTTTACTAAACTGTACACTTAAAATTTAATTAAACGTACCATTTTTCCAAATCATTTTAATATTAACCTGATTGTATTTATCAGAAACAATAAGTAGCGAATTGGGTTATTTCAGTGTTAGCTCTGTCCGAAAGTGAAGTATCTGTCTATCATATGATATGATTTGTATCTTATTAATGTAGGGTGATTAAAACGAAAATTAATTTAAATGTTCATCAATACAATTATTAATTTTGGTGATGATATTATATAATTTTTATGATGTTGCTGAAGTTAAATACGACTATAATCAAAGCTAATTATCAATATGGGGCGGTAGAGATTGTTAGTTTTTAATTGAGATCATGAATGGATCCAGGTTTTCAATGGTGGTCTAACATTGATCGGTTCATGATCTCAAATAAAACTCAACAATCTCCACAACTCCATACTAATAATTATCATGTGCTCACTAGCGATTAGCTTGAAAATGGATTTCTTAGAGTTCTAGTGCAAAGCCATGACCACTGGAGTCCAACCCATGTCGGGTGGAGACGGTTATCCACCTCAGACAATGGATAAAAGTTTGCACAAGATTATGGATCGATTGAACTTATACATTAAGACCACTGGATGGCAGCTCAGTGATTTATAGGTTAGGCGTTCGCGCCTGGGACTGTAGGTTCTGGGTTAGAATTCTGCGTGCGGGATCGTGGATGCGCACTGCTGAGGAGTCCCATACTAAGACGAAACAGCCGTTCAATGGTGGTCTAACATTGGTCGGTTTATCATCTCAACTAAAGGATTAATAAGGGTTAGGGAGCAACATAATGTTGTATTTCTTACCCTGGTCTGAAATTCTTCAAAAGTTGAGAACTATCAATCTTTTAAATTTATTAGATCTCTTAACGGGAATCTAATGGTTTATATGCTTCGACTTTAACTTGTAAAATAGCTTGGTCGCTGTTCGGCGTCATCGATGCATCACTCCCTCATAAAGAAATCACAGAGTCCACCAGTCACCATTTCATATTACGTCTCTGTCGACATTCATACCCGACTTAGTTAATTGATCGTATATATTTCTCAAGCTAACTGAAAGTTTAATACAGATGTATATGCATGTAAAATTTCCCCACTAGCCACACCAACTTAAAATTTAAGATAACTCAAGATCTGTTTTTTTGGATAAATTCACATTGTTTAAGGGTAGATTGCAACTAAATCGCTTATGTTGGTTCTAATTTAAAATATGGATAATCTCTCTCGCTTGTGCTTGAGAACCAGACCATTTTTTAGCATACGCGTGTTAATATGAATAAGCTTGGATTTTGGTCTAATGGTTGGTAAATCCATTTTATGCCACTTACACACATTATATTAAGAATTATTTATTGAATGGTTTACATTTCTCCGTTACTAATATCACTATTTGAACTCATCAGTATTTTTATGCTGATGAGTGTTAAATTAATCAAGATACATCTTATGAATTCCATTTCTAGCTACTTTGAAACATAACACTAATAGTTTTACAGTTAGTAAAACTATACATTTGAAACATTCGTCTGAACTGTATTGAGTTGTAGACTACCCTAGTTCTATTGTTAAGAAATAATAAAAGTTATTACTTTTGAAGTAAACTGGACTCTCGTGGTAATATATAAAAGTTACAAGTTAAAAAGCACAACAGTGTCCACTTGAACGAAGTGATACTAATTTGGTCTGATTTTGAAAGTCAACAGTAATGTATTTATAGTGAATGTGAAATATCATATTGAGTAGAAAATTGTACTTGCGATTCTTTGCAACTTATAAATTAACACTGAAAAAATCAAATCGGTTATTTAGTACACACCAACGGCTGTATCATATTAATCTTATATCATTTAGCTTAATGATGATTGTGTGAGATATAACGTTGTACGTATTCCTATGTGTGTGAATGGTTGTGAAAAGTATGATACTTATGTGAATGAGTTATTTAATTTCTGTGTGCACTTGTGGGTTCGGTTGTAGTCGGCATATGCTTTAAATAAATATCAGTTAACGTGATTTGTTTCGTTTATAGGAAATCAAACAAATGCGGACTCTATATTTCTATCCTGTGATTATTTATAATTGGTTTTCTTCGTCTGTCTTACATATTCTTTAATTTTTAATCAAATTTTGTTTTTTAGTTCATCTTTTAAACACAAGTATTCATACACCAAAACTTATTCAGATCTCTAATATTACATCCACTTCGTTCGTGATCATTTGGTCAGTTGTGAAAACTAATGGAAGTCAATTCAAAACTTCTACTTATGAAATCTTGCTTAATAGTCAAAGACAATCATTGTTATTAATAAAAAATATTTCGAGTGAATTATTTAGACAAAAAATTGAGAATTTAACTGCTTGCACAATTTATACAATTCAAATGAGATTAGTAGTAAAATTATCTGAAACAGTATATAGTGAATGGTCAAAGCCACTAACTGCGTTTACTTCAATCTCGAGTAGGTTCATATTGTGATTATTATCAATATTTGCTAAGCATTAGCTGCGTTAACAAAACAAATAAAATTGCCTTAGTTCCCTGTTGCTGACTTTTAAATACACTTCATTCGGTGTAGTACTGTTTATAGTCAATTTAAACGCTAATAATCTCGTTGAACATACTAGTTGATTCAATATACCGTTATAAAGTGAAATTTGTTGGAGAATGATTTTCACAGCACAGTAGAAACAATGCGAACATGCTTCGAATGCGGTTCTTTCCCTCCAAATGCTAGATGTTGCTTCAGAATTGGATTGCATTAACGTCTAAATTCATGATATCGAGTAAAGTAGTTGAACGCATCGACCACCTCAGTTATTCAACAGACTTAGTTTCGATTTGCATTACCACTCAATTTCTCATGTATGACTGTAAATGGTTGAAACGAAGACGAAAGGTATATTTCAAGTTAGAACAACGTTTTTTCAACAAAAAGAAGGAGGTTCATTCAATGTAAACATTAAAACGGACCTTTGGAACATTCATAATTATATTTGATGTAACAATACATGTGGTAATTTGTAACCAGTTGGATGAAAACACAATATTAATTCACAATGATTCAGTGGCTATTCTAATGTAGTGAAATGACTGAGAGTAGAAATGAATTTGTAGTGAAAACACGATATAGACATTATGTACGATTACTTTTCCCAGAATATTTTACTTCACTAAGCCTCATAAATATCAGACGACTACACATAACCTGTGACTGGTAATAATTACTATTTAGCTAATAGTTCAAATCCTTATGTACATTTTTAACTGAAGTAAAATCACAACGGGAAGATAACTGAATAACTCGTACTGGTTGCCTTAATGTTAGAATAAGTTTTTCAATAAGATTAATCCAACCAAGTAGCAGTACGGATCGAAATCTGTAGCAGAACCACTTCAACCTCATCGGCCAGCAACCTGAAATATTAACTTCTAACTTCGTATTCATTCTGTATCACATAGGTGCTTAATCGTCTTAGGTACCATAAAGAAAAATTAGATTCACACCTATATCTTAATACACTTGCATTTGTGTACAAATTTATTTTTCATGGAATAATAATTGAATTTCAAATAAACGGTAATTTAAATGAACCCGCCACTGATTCGTCAATAACGCATTGTATATAACCAGTTGTATGATTAGAAATGTCATAATCAATAAAAATAACTGATTTACCGAACCACACACTCGACTCTTCTCTAATGAAACAAACAATCTCTAATTGTATTTGTAAACTAGTCAAATCAAATAGATTAGAATAATTTATTCTAATTGCATAGTACAGACAAAAGAAGATGAACAGCATTAGTGTGCACTTCTTCAAGGTTCAAAATGTACGTCATATTGAATATACGTGTAAGTTGGTGCATAAATTATTTCTAGATTAAAAACATTAATCTTTCATCTCCATGGTTGCATAATTTTAGTAGGCAACTGTTTTTGAATGATGCAAATGTAAATGGTTAATCAAATCAAAGTTTCAATTGTTCAACATACATTTGAAGCATTGATTAACGTATTAAACGGAAGTATTTGCATCAGACTTGAAGTGTTTTAAAGGTAGGCGATTTCTCAACTCGTTTCTTACAATTCTATATAGTAATTGTATCAATGTCCACTATCATTAGTCACCAGTTTTAAGATTCACTTTAAAGAATGCCATCGCACCATTTTGTTTACCACTAATTGTATATTCAAAGTTGAATCCATGAGTTGATTAAAGCTAGACCACTATGGAAACACTGGACGGCCGTTTTGTTCTAGTATGGGACTCCTCAGCAATGCTCATCCACGATCCCGCACGCGGGACTCGGACCCAGGACATTCGGTCTTGCGGGCGACCAATCGATTCATGAATTCAACTATTAGAAATTACTATAATATCCCCAAAACCCCATTCTGATAATATTCAAAGTTGTTAACAAAACGTATATTTTGTAGAATTCATTAGAGGATCTATACTGAACTATATATTTCACTTAAAAACACTGAAACTAAAAGGCGAGAATTGTTACTTTTACGTAAAAGACGAACGAATAAAATTTCCACATATTTGGGTATCCGTGGCCCCCTACAAAGTTTGATCGGAGAGAAATAGCATCTCCGAACTAGATGGAAAAAAAACCACGGAGTATATATATATATATATATATACATATATATTGTGAGGCTGGCCCCAGGGTTAATTCAAGAAGCAATGAGAAGCTCAGAGCGAACTAAAGACATCCCGTTCAATCATCTGAAAGCATATTGCAGAATTTGGTCGCGTAGCTAAAAACCACTGTACACGGATTAGATGACTATAATGATGATTTCGTTTTTACTAGGAACTCTAAATACCTGAGAGTTTTGTACCATATTTAGTACTGTTTTGAATAACCTTTCTTCTCACTCGTCTTCTGTCTTTTCACTTGCGACTCGGAGGGTTCTAGCGTTCTAGTGCTCAATTTGTACGCGGTATATCAGGAATCTCAGCCCTGGATATAATAACTGACTACGGCGTCAGCTTATCAAAATATCATTTACTTTTGATCAAATAGTTTTGCTGGAGCGTCAAGAAATACTTTACGAGCTGTTCCAATTCGTATGTTATAAACTCTAATCCAGCAAATAAACTTAAATCGAATGAGCCTTACCGATGGTTAATTCAAATCCCGTGTCGACCATATCATTTATTCTATCCACGAATTCCATTTGATGATTTTGCTGGTGTTACGTTCGAATCCTGGTTGAAGAAATGTAAAGATGTATTCACGGTTCAACTAGAAACGCTTGATGATACTACAAATGTCAGGATACTACTACACAAAGTTGGCACAGCTGAACTTGAACGCTACATCAACTTCATTCTCCCCAAGAATCCCAGAGATCTTTCATTTGATAAAACGGTCGTAATTTTGTTGCAAATCTTTGATGAGCACTCATCTTTGTTTAAAATTCGTTACCAATGTCTGAAGTTAGCAAAATCTGGCGACGATGACTGGGTGCAACATGCTACCCTAGTAAATCGCGAGTTTGAGCGTTCTAAATTGTCAACAGTGACGGAAAACCACTTTAATTGTCTTGTGTTTGTATTCGATCTCCGATCTCCTGAAGATGCTGATATCAGAACCAGAATTTTGAGTAAAATTGAAGTGTCCGAGCATAACGCTACAAGAAGTAACCACGGAGATTGGTAGAATTGAAACATGACACGTCTATGATTGAAAGTAATGGACGGCTGTCATACATCCACGTCATAAGCGAAAAGAAAGATTCCGGCTCACAAAAATTATCGCGCACAGATAACCAGCCCTGATCTCCATGCTGGTCATATGTAATATGTAATCATCAAGGTTGATGTCCAACATGCCCGCCTGCAGCTCGACACTGCCCTGACACTACATTCATTAGCCGAAGAACCTAGATGCATATTGGAAAGCCATGTTACAAAGACACCACCACATGTTTACAAAAGGTTTGGAAAAGTGTGCAATAGCTAAAGCATTATCAATCCTCAGACCTGGAGCTTCTCCCGTTTGTCGACCTAAATGACCTGTGCCTTATACTGCTCTCCCTGTAGTTGAACAGGAACTAGAACGGCTCCTGAAAATGTGTATTATTGACTCTGTGAACTTCTCGGATTGAGCTGTACCAATAGTGGTGGTCAATGAACCCAACGGTGGCGTTCGATTATGCCCAGATTACTGCGCTAGACTAAATGAATCGCTAGAGTCTAGCCAGTATCCATTACCTTAAGATCTCTTCACTAAGTTAAATGGTGACAAGTATTTTACAAAATTGGATTGGGTGTCTAGGCACAGAAGAGTATCGTTTAGGTGGCCGATGGGGACTCGTTGGTCGCAGGTCAGATAACGGGGACCGTCTACTGCAACTTTGCACAGACCACAACGTGTTTCTGGCTAGCACTAACTTTCGGCACAGTCATCGCCGATGTGCCACCTGGCGTCCTCCCTCTGCATCTCAAGCCTGGACTCAGATTGATCACATCGCGATCGGCTACCGCTGGCGTGGTTGTGTACAAGACTGTCTCTCCTTTTGGAGTACCTATCTGAACTCTGATCATGCCCTGGTCTGCACCAATCTTACCTTTTTTTCAGTGGCCAACGAAGTGACCTCCACCAAAGGATTGATGTTAGCAATCTGGTTGCAACTTCTGTTGCTAGTAAGTATCGAACCGAGCTAGCTTCTAGGCTAGCTACCATTCCACCGAAAAGTATAGATGAGCATTGGTTACAATTGCATGACGCCATGAAAATGGCGAGTAAAGTCGGTTGTAGGTTCACGAAACGTCCCGCTTATAAGCACTGGGTTTCTTCAGGCTCCTTACAACTCATTGAAGCCCGTCGGTCTACTCCGGGTGACCGTGAGTTTGACCATAAACGAAGGATGTTACGTAAGGAAATTGGGCAGGGCTTGCGTAAGGACCAAGAAGCCCGATGGTCGGAGAGTGCTAATGAGTTGGGAGCATCAGCTGCATTTGGTAACCGCTGGAAGCTCTACCAATTCATCCGAGTCACTGGCAGCAAGAAGTCTGGTGTGAGTGAAACAATCTGTGAGGATGATGGGATGCCAATCACTAACATCCATCGACGTCTTGGACGATGGGCAGAGTTCTTCGAAGGGCAGTTCAACTGGCCTGCTGCTCCGGCAACATCGGTCAGACTGTCCTGCCCTCCATGGCCGGTAACAACTGATCCACCAAACGAGGAGGAAGTCCGCAAGGAACTCCAACTCTTGAAGCGTTACAAATCACCTGGCCCAGATGACTTACCTCCGGCTCTTTTTAAAGATGGAGGTGACTTTTTGACTAAGGAATTGACGACGTTGTTTACAAAGGTTTGGGAACTAGAGAGTGTACCAACGTCATGGAATGAGTCGATAGTTGTCCCTATCTTTAAGAAGGGTTCACGTCGTTCCTGTAACAACTATCGGGGGATAAGTTTACTTCCGATTGCGTCCAAGCTATTGGCTTCCGTCATACTTCGTAGGTTGTTCAAAACCCGAGAAAGATTGACTCGCGAGGAGCAGGCTGGGTTTCGTTCTGGTCGAGGATGTATTGATCATATCTTCACCCTCCGCCAAATGTTAGAACACAGTGAGGACATCCCACGGGTGAACTCGAGGAAGCTCTAAGAAGCTCGGAAAGAGTCAAAGACTTTCTGTCTAATAATCTTTTGAAGGAACATTCCAGAATCTCGACGCTCAGCTACTCTATTGGACAAATGCTTAAAATCACTGCACGCGAATTAGATGACTATAATGATGAGTTCGTTTTTACTAAGAACTCTAAATACCTGAGAGTTTTGTACCATATTTAGTACTGTTTTGAATAACCTTTCTTCTCACTCGTCTTCTGTCTTTTCACTTGCGACTCGGAGGGTTCTAGCGTTCTAGTGCTCAATTTGTACGCGGTATATCACGAATCTAAGCTCTAGATATAACACACATAATTGAGGAAAGCAACGGAAATTAAAATCTAAAATCATCATGAGTAAACGTAATATTGCCCCCAAATGTCCTTGTAATGCCGAAGGTGGGGAGTGTCAGCTCTCTCCACATTTTGTATCACTGCCAACCAGGAGGGGTAATGGTGCTGTTTTGCGGACGCCGTCTCGGGTTTGGAGCTGAGGTGCCAGTTGGGGCGGTCTGGTGCGGAGAGGTAACGTCGAGTGGAGTGTTCTGGCTGGGTGGCGTTGGGACCTGGGCAGTATCACAACCGATGCACTAATCAAGTAACTTGTGTGGCGCATATGTATTCGGTGCATCTTCGTACCAATATTTATGTGTTCAGATAACTAAATAGTATTATATCCATAAACGCTGTGCTATACGTTTCTGTTTCCCATTATCAATGAAATGTACAATGCATTTAATTGAATATAAATAAAATGACAGGGAAATGCAATATCAATATATGACGCGCTGTTGTTCTGCTAATCACAATTTTCATCTTGGACAAAAATCACATGTAGAATCAACGAAATTTATCGAGCATTGAAAAAAAATGTTTCGCGACAACCAACGACTCTTCCTCCTCGTCGGAATATTTATAAACACGCTGGTATTGCAGTAAACAAGTAATCGTCTAACCACTGTGTGAACAAACTATAGCCCTAAATTATATATATATATATGGTTGAATCTTCTTAATTTATTTGACTCTATATTCTCTGTATTTGCTCTCACTTGTGCTCGGATTCGCTTCGCTGTATGCTTGTGGCCTAGTGATCTGGGCTGTACAGTAATCAGCTGTAGTTGACACTTCGTATTGCATTTTGAAATTTATACACCATTGGGAGTTTTCTGATAGCGGTTATCAGGACGAGTGATATGCGAAGCCTTAAGAAGGTAATCCACTACACATATATAAATAAATCGTTCATATCTGTTTCATTGCCATTGTTCGTAAAGGCCTTGTAGAGAAATTTATATTATTATTATCAGAATGGGTTTTGTGGAGATTTTTAGAAATTTCACAAGTTGAAATCATGAGTCAATTGAAGCTAGACCACCTTGGAAAACCTGGAAGCACTGGACGGCTGTTTCGTCTTGGTATGGGACTCCTCAGCAGTGCGCATTCACGAACCCGTACCTCGCGGGATTCGAGCCCAAGACATACTGGTTTCGCGCGCGAGTGCTTAACCACTAGACCACTGAGCCGCCATCCAACGGTGTTGATGTCTAACTTCAACCAATCCACGAAGTTGCGCCACCGTATTTTTATATGTCGACCCAAACATCCAATTGCTTGTTCGGCATTGCCTTCTGAACAGGGACAGTGGATGATAAGTCGTGAATATTTTGTACATGTATAATACTAGAAGAGTTTTTGTTCTTCAATTCATCTTGCTAAGGAGCTGAAATCACCGCATAAATTTTATTTTTGTTAGATATAGCAATATTTATCAGGAGAAATCTCTACTTGACTATATCACTTGGTATCTGCTTTGTTAACTTCGGAATCCTTTTTAAAACTGTCGGTGTATATTTAAGTCCCACTGTATATTTTCATTAATTTTCGAATAATTCAACTGAATTGAAAGTAAATGAATGTGCGTAATCCTTCCAAAGTACTTTGCAAATGTCTGCCGAGCATAATTTTTAAATAAGTTAGAACTTATATTGCAAGAAGGTTTGTCCTATAATTTTGAATGGTTGACATTATTTGACTGTTCTATTACTTGAACATTTCAGACATTTCAAAGAAAACTCTCATAAAAATTACAAACCTTGGCAGAAATATGCAACACTTGAGATGGATTAAATTGAACGATCCTATCTTGATGAACGAGTGTAAATCCTATTTAGAATTAGTTCAATGCAGTCATCTATCATATAATTGTTTGACAGTCGAATTATCTCTGAATGAAACTAGTAAGTCGCATTAAGAAAATTATTGAAAACATTTTCCCCCTTTTTTATTAGTTGAAAATTATTTATCCCATCAAACAATTTTTTATAAGATTTCCTGCAGCTATTTTTAACCAATTTATATCAAAACATTGTAGGCACGATATCAAATCGTTTGAACTAGAGGCATATTGCTATTTAATAAAATCTGATAAGCATTTGAGACTAAAGGAGCTTGACATTTGTCCTTACTCAGTAGTTAGTCAATATAAAAACTTATAATTTTGCCTAAATCTATGAGATAAACATTGATTACTAATTGTTTAATAATTAGAAAAGGGTTATTATTAGGTCGTTTGTTTTATTTTATTTATAGAATGATTTTGTTTAACTCACTTTTATTAAATATAACCTTTGTAAATTGATTTCATTTACATTTTCCTGAATATGTATAAATATAACTACTGAGAATAGCTCTTTGCTACAGCATTGTTATTTTAAAATAGAGCAATTTACCCACTACATCTCCGAGTAAAATATTATCAAATGATTGAAAACCATTGATTAGACGTTCTGTAACTAGGCTTAGTAAAAGCTAAAATTCCTCATTTTGACTTATCTGCGATTCTAAGGGCTGTAATTCCAAACCATATCACTCAGTGTTGTAGTCAAAGACGTTAATACCAAACTGTTTAGAGTACTTTCTGATCTTCTGTAAGGTCTAGGTAACCGATTTAGAGATTGTGGATAAGAGATTCTTGATAAAAAATCTATCATCTAATGGGAAATCAATTTCCTGAAAGCATATAAATGTAGGATATCTAATTTATTCCAGACTTAAGGTACAAACTGAGAGCTTTTAAAGAAAGTGTAATCATTGTGAAAAGCCTTGGTAATTCATTTTATCTACCTACATAATTGGTACAAAAATGGCTTGACTTGAGCAATCACTCTAGAAGGACGCACCCTACATTGTTAGTTTTACAATTTTGATCATTTTGATGATTCAGTTAGTTGTCAAGTATTCGGTTGAAAGATTATGAACAAATGCCATGCTTGTCAGATCATTTCTTATCATCGTCAGTTGATTTCAATGCTCATCACTAATTAAGAGATTTTGAAATGTAGTTTTCATCTCACATTTCTATTAACCACCACTCATCTATTAGCCAATATAACATTGGTATCTTCTGGTTTCTAAACACTTGTCATACTGATGAAACACGAAACCGTTAAATGAATTTAGAATTTCTCAATTTCTTAAGCATACATTATTTAGCCGAGTAAATGTGATTGGCTTGAATGACAATAATTTCATTCAATTATACCTAACAGACTTTCAATTAAAATTTCAATACAACTTTATTAGTCCTGCAAATATTTCGATAAGGTCTGTGCATTTTACGTATATTTTAATATATATCTCTTAAATACTATACAATTCAGAAGTAAGATTAAATTGTTTCTTGTTTTAAATTTTTATGGCTTCATACAAAATTACGGTTTTTAATCTTAATAATTATGAATAACATGCGATAAAAATAAATCTTAATTATTGATGAGATCATTGTTAAACATTTTTTAAATAAATTTTTGTCATTTGTCTTTGTTAGCTTTTATATATTACAATCTGAAACCATTGACTACTTATACATATAGTATCAATTTGATTTCTCCATTTGGTAATATCAATGATATTTACACGAAGTCTACAGCCGAAACACTACCTAATGGTAAGCATGATTTTCGTATTCTCAGTGTTTCCTTTTCAAGTCTCTACTGACAGTACAAGGACACAAAACAACAATTAAAATAGGTATCATTACCAAGGTTTGACTTGATAATTTCGAATAAACTGAGCATTGGGTAGATTTTCTAAAAATGTGTGTTAATTTCGATTTGGTTATTTATTCTCTGAGGACGTGGCTTACATTGCGTCATGAAACATCAGAAAATTTAATTTTTCTACTCACTGGAATAGTACAAATACATTAATTTAGTTATAACAATTAAGATAGTTTAAATAATATGAATTTTGCTGAAAATTAATGAAAATCACAGAGTAGTTCACTAAGCACTTCAATTTCTACTGTTTATATCCAGAAAGTATTTCTTCAAGAAGCCCACATGACAATCTTAATGAGTCAACTTCAGCCCATAATAATAAAAAGAGATAAATACTAACCAGTTGTCCAGCTCTTTTTTTAACGTCAGTTCCATCTTGGCAACCACCAGGTGGTGATCTGAAGCTATATCGGTTCCTCTCCTGGTCATCAAGTCTTCCATAAATACAAACGTGATCGATCTGATTCTCTGTGGTGTGATCCGGTAAGACCCATGTAGCTTTATGAGAGAATATTGTACCATTTACAACCAATTTATTGAATGCACATAGGTTTGGAAATCTCCCACCATTCTCGTTTCGCTCTCCTAGTCCATGTCATCCCATGGTATCTTCGTATCCCATGTTTTCCATTCCGAATTTGGCGTTCAGGTCTCCATTCAGGATGGTCATATCTTTTGCTGGGCACTTCGCTATGATCGATTGCAGCCTCTCATAGAACTGTCCTTTATCGTCGTCGTTGTTATAATTGGTTGATGCATAACATTGGATAACATTCCTTGTGATTCCTTTCTTCTTTGTTTTGAATGATGTTTCGATGATCCTGGATCCGTGAAATATCCATCCAATAAGTGCTTTACGTGCCTCTTTGGACAGCATCAGAGCAACTGCCTTAGTGTGTAGAGGATTTTTTCTTCGTGATCGGAGTACATTAGCCTCTCTCCCGTATCTAGCTTTCGCTGTCCAGCTTGGTTCCGATAGTTTTCCCTGATTACGAGAAACCCCAAATTGCATCTCCTCATATCAATTGCTGTTTGACTGATCCTCCCGGTCTTCCACATTGTCGGGACATTCCGTGTACCTATATTAATTGTTGCTCTGGTTGTCAGAAGGGTGATCGGCCTCGTGACTTCCGAAGAATATCGGCTTTCATCATGAGGGTTCATAATTCTTCTGAATGAAGATCCTTCAACTCCCACGGCAGAGTTTAAATTGTTTATTTTGGTTGTTGTTTGTTTAGCAAGGTTGTTTACTACGAGATGGGGTTGCAGACCCTATTCCCAACCCTCTTCATTTACCTGGGTTTGCGACCGGCAGTAACTATAGAAGGGCTCCAGGTGGAGTTTCTTAGTGTTATGACGGTTAGCGTTTGATAATTGACACTCGCAGTAGGATTTGATTCTACCGGCACTCGAAACTAGATAACATACCATTGGTTACTATGTGGTGACTGAATATTATGTTATATATATCAGTAGTTACAGCACTACAATATATGTGCTGAATTGTAAATGATTGCACGTTAAACAAATGCGGAAAACGTTTTTAAAATGTAGTCGTACAAATCATATAGGGACATCATGTAATCGATTGCTAATATATGTAGTTTTGAATAAATGAATGTATAAAATGTTTCATTGATAGTTCCTAAAAATAGACCATGTGAAAGCTTATTGTGAAGGAAGCAACTTAAATAATCGATAGATAATATATTTGTAATATTCTAACAAGTAGGAAAATTAGATTTTCTGACGTTTGGTGACTCAGTGTAAGCCAGTTCTTCAGAGAATAAATAACCAAATCAAAATTTATTTAAGTTTAAATAGTAAAACGGAACAATAAGAATCTCTAGCATAAAATTGAATAAGATGTAACTAGCCAGATATTTTGGAATTTAATGTTTAATTAAGATAATTTCGAATAAATTGAGCATTGGGTTGATTGTTATAAATAAAAATAATATATTTGTAATATCCCAATGAGTAGAAAATTGGATTTTTTGACGTTTCGTGACTTAGTGTAAGTCACTTCTTCAGAGAATAAATAACCAAATTAAAATTAATCCAATATTACAAATATATTATTTTTGTTTAATTAAGAGTCTAACATATTAACCGGTATTTTATCTTGTATTAGCTAATTAGAGTAAAATGGACACACTTACCTGAACTAAGGTTTGACAAGACGTAAACTATTCTTAGGTTTTTTGTGAACCACTAATAAAATCTTTATAGTTGTGATAACTTTACTGTATACTACTACCGATTTAAAATGGGTATAAATCATACAACTTCGATAAAGATTTCTGTTGGCCAAATACTTTTATATTTAACGATAAATATATTAGACGAAGGGATACTGTATAACACTTTTATAGAAATCAAAATTAATGACACTGACGTCGCTCTTCCCGTTTTTTGCTGATAATTAAAAACTAGGATGAAAAGAATAAATCCTATTTTGCCGTGCTTTATTTCAACTAAATAATAATATTTGTTCAGTCATGTAGTTGGTTCTAAGCAATACCTGTTTCATTACTGCACAACTCATTTATATGTTTTGGTGTAAATATGCAAGACGAAAAAACGCGAAATGGTGATATCTAAGTACAAACGTTTTGAAACCATGCTTAATTTTTAGTAGAATTAAAACACAGCGTTTTTGTTCCTTGTTAGGTCCAAATACACCGGTCAATCTATCTATCAGCCATATATCACCGAACAAACTGACCTTACACTGGCAAAATCCACCACAACATTCAGCCTTTGATGTTCACTGTTTTTGGGTGTACAAACGTGAATCGATCCATCTGATGAGTGGGTTGGACGAGTACAGAATTTGTGATGTTTCGAATGAACTTATTTTGACATCACTGATACCGGGAAGACAATACACTTTGTATATGAGATCTGAGGATTCTGTGTATGGATTACATAGTGATGTGTCTAATGCTATAAGTGCAACAACCTATCCATCAAGTAGGTCTTTTTCATACATCATTTTAAATGGTTTTTGCTATATCCGGACGAGAATAAATGAATGGTAATTATTTATGGACTAATATTATACGAATATTATTATTGCATGACTATTAAGTAACTACATTATATGTATATTCATATTCTTTTCATTACAAGCTTTTATTTGACCTATTGGTTAACTGTTGTATGATTTAGTATTCGCAAGTTATTCTCAATCTATTAGTCACAGATTCTCATTATCCCCGACTCTTTTGGCTTGATCTTGTAATAACTTTTATTTTTATTTTATGGTGTGATGTTGTCTGATTTTGCTTGTATATAAACTGTTTCAAGTATATGATTGGCATCGCTTAGGCTGAGATTGGCGTTTTGGACTAAACAGGCAGGGAAAAAGACCAATCAGAACTCGAGGCTGTCTGTACTGGTGTATGCATCATTAGTTCAGTTGTATAAGTCAGCGTATCTAAATTGGCAATCGTATTTCGCGATAACTAATAAAATGTCTATTACATGCCGGTCCCAGTGGTTCTTCAGTTGATGTCAAGTTAGTTCTGAAGATCGCTTTCAAAACTCACAACGTTGCATGAAAATCACTTTTGTTGAAAGTAAAGATGAGTCGTAAACATTAATGTAATATATTTTATTTTATATTATTATTATTTATTTATTTGAACACATAAATATTGGTACAAGAGAGCGCCAATATATATGCGCCACACAAAACAATGAGAATTCGAAGAGAAGTAGGAAAAAAAAACTAAGGAGCGCAAAAGAAAAAAAGAACAATGACGAAGAGATTGGTGTAAGGTAGTGTGGTAGTAACGAGGTACAATCAGAAGAAATCTTTCAGGTAAAGGAGGCACAACCACTTTTTATGAAGAAAGTAAAAGAAGGTTACAGCAGGATCGCCACTGGCTTCTATTCTGAGCCATATCTGATAACGTCTCTAGCCACTGTGTAGCACCATCTCTCGGACCCCAACCAGGGAGTCGTGAAGGACCAACACAAGCCAGTCCTTTGCAGCTTTCTTTCATGCCACGACACCATGTCATGCACTGACTACCTCTCCGTTTCTTCCAACCAGTCCCAGAGTCGGCAAATAATGCACGACGTGGAATTCTCTGGGACGACATTCGGAGAACATGTCCAAGCCACCGAAGTCGGTGTTTCAAGATGGTGACACCAATTGAATTATCATCTCTGTGCCCGAACACACGATGCCGAACCTCTGCATTACTGACATGGTGTTGCCACTGAATGTCAGCAATCCTTCGGAGACAGCGATGCTCGAACACAGAGAGTCGTCTAACGTCCTCAACTCGGAGAGACCAGGTTTCACAAGCATAGAGCAAAACTGCTCTCACCGACGCGTTGTAGATCCGGCCTTTTACAGCCAGACTAACATCACGAAGGAGCCAAAGGTGGCCCAGATTGGCATAAGCCGCTCTGGCTTTCACTATTCGTGCATTGATCTCATCACTCACACCCCCACCAGCACTTATGCAGCTACCCAGATACACGAACTTCTCGACTACGTCTATCTGCTCACCATCCAGGGTGAGTACAGGATTGGAATCCTGCCAGTCTTGTAGAAGTACTTTGCACTTCAAAGGTGCAAAGCACATACCATACCTACGGACACTGATTGCCAACTGATTAAATGCTGATTGCATGCCTTGGGCATTATCGCACAGTAAGACAATATCGTCCGCATACTCAAGGTCGAGAAGTCTTTCTCCAGGCAACAGATCCACACCACCATTACTTACATTCATCAGAGCTGTTTCCAGAATGTCATCGATGGCAAAGTTGAAGAGGAATGGTGAGATTGGGCAACCCTGCCTAACCCCACTGCTCGAATGGAACAATGGAGAGAGGTGGTTGTATGCCCTCACTCTGCCTGAGGTGTTTTTATACAGGGCTTTTAGGATGTTAATAAACTTCTCAGGCACACCCTTCTTCAATAGACAATCCCAGAGAACAGCCCTGTCCAACGAATCGAAGGCAGCCCTGATGTCAAGAAACACTACGATTGTTGACCTTTGATAAGTATGGCGGTGTTCTAACATTTGGCGGAGGGTGAAGATATGATCAATACATCCTCGACCAGAACGAAACCCAGCCTGCTCCTCGCGAGTCAATCTTTCTCGGGTTTTGAACAACCTACGAAGTATGACGGAAGCCAATAGCTTGGACGCAATTGGAAGTAGACTTATCCCCCGATAGTTGTTACAGGAACGACGTGAACCCTTCTTAAAGATAGGGACAACTATCGACTCATTCCATGACGTTGGTACACTCTCTAGTTCCCAAACCTTTGTAAACAACGTCGTCAATTCCTTAGTCAAAAAGTCACCTCCATCTTTAAAAAGAGCCGGAGGTAAGTCATCTGGGCCAGGTGATTTGTAACGCTTCAAGAGTTGGAGTTCCTTGCGGACTTCCTCCTCGTTTGGTGGATCAGTTGTTACCGGCCATGGAGGGCAGGACAGTCTGACCGATGTTGCCGGAGCAGCAGGCCAGTTGAACTGCCCTTCGAAGAACTCTGCCCATCGTCCAAGACGTCGATGGATGTTAGTGATTGGCATCCCATCATCCTCACAGATTGTTTCACTCACACCAGACTTCTTGCTGCCAGTGACTCGGATGAATTGGTAGAGCTTCCAGCGGTTACCAAATGCAGCTGATGCTCCCAACTCATTAGCACTCTCCGACCATCGGGCTTCTTGGTCCTTACGCAAGCCCTGCCCAATTTCCTTACGTAACATCCTTCGTTTATGGTCAAACTCACGGTCACCCGGAGTAGACCGACGGGCTTCAATGAGTTGTAAGGAGCCTGAAGAAACCCAGTGCTTATAAGCGGGACGTTTCGTGAACCTACAACCGACTTTACTCGCCATTTTCATGGCGTCATGCAATTGTAACCAATGCTCATCTATACTTTTCGGTGGAATGGTAGCTAGCCTAGAAGCTAGCTCGGTTCGATACTTACTAGCAACAGAAGTTGCAACCAGATTGCTAACATCAATCCTTTGGTGGAGGTCACTTCGTTGGCCACTGAAAAAAAGGTAAGATTGGTGCAGACCAGGGCATGATCAGAGTTCAGATAGGTACTCCAAAAGGAGAGACAGTCTTGTACACAACCACGCCAGCGGTAGCCGATCGCGATGTGATCAATCTGAGTCCAGGCTTGAGATGCAGAGGGAGGACGCCAGGTGGCACATCGGCGATGACTGTGCCGAAAGTTAGTGCTAGCCAGAAACACGTTGTGGTCTGTGCAAAGTTGCAGTAGACGGTCCCCGTTATCTGACCTGCGACCAACGAGTCCCCATCGGCCACCTAAACGACTCCCTTCTGTGCCTAGACGCCCGACCTGAGCATTCAAGTCTCCGGCTAGTACTACAATATCTGTCGAACGCACTTTCTGGAGAAGAACTGATAACTGGTGGTAAAACTCATCCTTGATTGCATCCGGGCTGCAATCTGTCGGGGCATAGGCGGAGATGATGAAAAGACATCGTTTCTCACGCCGATTTCTTCTCACTTTGATGGAACTTTCTAATCTAACAGCACATAACCGACTGTTAATGGGGATCCAATCGACTAGTGCTGCCTCAGCTCTAGCGCTTAGTGCGACACCAACGCCAGCAAGACCAGACGAAGATGCCACAGGGTCCCCGGATAAGCGCACGTAAAACAAGCTTTTCGAAGCGACAGATGGAGATCGGATTTGTAGTACTTCGCCAGAGTCTTGAATACGGGTCTCGGGTAGACAACACACGTCGATATTAAGATTTCCAAAGACATAGCCAGCCCTATCTGTTGTCCGACCTGCATAAGTGTGCGAACGTTGAAGGCAGCCAGTTTGAATGGTGCACGTGGTTTTAGAAAAACTGCTTCAGTCCTCGTATTCGGTGGTAACATACAATTTTCAACCGGACAGTGACTCGAGAACGTTTAGATACAGTCGGATTTCCACCAAAGACGAGCCGCTGTATAAGTATAAAAGAGGGTGAATAGTGTGGAAAATAATAATAATAATAATGATAATAATAACAATAATGACAATAATAGTAGTAATAATAATATTAGTATTAATAATGACAATAATTGTAATGATAATAATTTGAATCAATTGGTTGTTTTTCGAAGCGAGAAAAGCAATTTCCATAGGCATAAAGAGTTCATCAATTTGTGTGTGGGCTGTGATACTGCCCGGGTGCCCAAATATTTTACTAATCAATTCAATGTTTTAATTACAAATTCTACATTTGACTTACTAAAGTCTTTCAATACCTGATATCTAACTACTGGATTATCAAGTGAATATTATTACAAATACATTTTTCGAGTATTATTATTATTATTATTATTATTATGAATTCGAGCTATTAGCACTTACTGAAACTCCTTACTTTCAAATTCTTTTTTTACTTTTAATTTCTACAAGAACCAAATGCACCAACTAATCTAACTGTAACCAATATTTTATCTAATCAATTTACTGTTAAATGGACTGAACCAGTACAAGATCCTGCATTTATAATTAAATATTATTTAATATATTATCGTCCTACTTTAAAGATAAATGATCTATTCACACAATCTCATATTTTCTCTAATCATTGTAATGAATATATCATCACTTCATTATTACCTGGTATTAACTACACAGTATATATGAAATCGATTGACTCAATTTATGGTATATACAGTAATGAATCGATCCCAATTACAGTGTACACATTTCCAGATGGTAAGTTGACTTGATTTCGAAAACTTTTAATTGTCATAATGAGTAAAATAATATATCATTCTGAATTGTCTACATTAGGATTTATGATGTGAATATATTTTAACTTCTTTTTAAATTACGAAATGAAATCAGTAAGAAAATTAATATAAAAAAACAGAAAGCACTGGATAGTTGTTTTATCCTTTTATGGAACTAGTTTGCCGGATCAATCCAAACCTCACAGTGAACATCAACATTTTTAAATAACTGATTGGAAATCCAATGATAAGTATATCCAACTTTATTGGAAAGATGTGAAACGATTGATTCCGCTTTAATCGTTATTCATCAAATAAATTCGCAATTATTGTTCCAAAGACAATTGATAGTTCTGATGCTATAACTTCATATTAAGTAGCCAATTAAAGTCGAGATTAAAAAGTAGAACAAGATGGATTCAACACAACTAAATTTCTGTGTTAATGAATCGCCAAACTAATGAAAGACAATAGGCTAATTCATTAATGTCCTATTGTTTATTAATTTAATTAGGCTACCATCTACGTGAAGTTGATCACAACAAACATAAAATTTAGAAAAAATTACCAGATTGAAACATGGTACCATATTCCAAAAAATGAAATTCATTTTGATGTAAAACTATATTCAGTCATTTACCGATTCCTTTATTTGGCGAAACGGATGATTAAATTTCACGAAAAAATCGACCCATTATCTTAAATCTGATGGGTTCGGCCATAAATCATAATCTTGCCTAATTAACCAAAAAAATCTTAGCTTTACGAGATTAGCTGCACCCTGAATACTTTGGTAAAAATGTCGTTGACTATGATGTTGAGCGATAGTGATACTTATTCCATGGAAAAACACTTACTTGAGTACCGTAGATGCGGTTTAAATCGCATCCAGTAGTTTCTGTCTATTACCTCTAGTCACCGAATCTATAAAAACTGCTTTGACGTGACTGAGCACGTCCAAGTATTAAGTATTTCTGATTTCATCTTAAAATGCAACGCAGAATTTATCACCTCAATGTAAACTGATTGTTTGAATGTTTCCAAAATTACTTAAATAAATAACAATCTATCACTCATGAGTAGTACATCTGACATTAATAAACCATATATTCAATATTTTATTAGTAGAGATGGTTTAACTAAAGATACACCAACGATGTAAAAATTATTATCCTGTACATTAGCTATTAAGGTTGTATAATTATCACTTTATTGAATCAATGTACTGAGTGTTATATGCATACATTTTAGAATTCCACACTGCATATGATGAATAGATTAGATATATCTTAACTCAAATTACAAAATAATTAAACTGACCAAAGAGGACAATTGATAATAATCATCGTATTAAATTTAAACAGCTACACCCAGTGTTCGCTTTGATGGTTTATGTAGAAAATTTTATCATAAAAATAGTTTTTGTTACAGACTAGAATTAACTGTGGCATTAATGAGAAACACAGACCACTGGTTATTTTGCTTTGGCTAGGGACTGCTAAACAATGTGAATTTACCAACCTACAGATTTTCTGATTTCGTAGTGCGTATGATACTCTAAGGCGACTTTGTAACGATTCAATGGTCCAGTTTTTAATCCAGTGTAGAGTTGTGAGTACAAGCTAGAATGGAACATCTATCTGATGTACTCTGGTTCTCATTAATGCTTCAAGTGACGCCGATCTTCTATCTTTGAATCGAAAATATTTTCGGAAAATGCATAAATATAGTTATGAAATGATTATTTTTCTTTCGTTTATTTAAGAAAAAATAACAAAACTAACCGATCCATTATCTTCTGTGAATAAATATCTTCATTAATTATTGATTTATTATTGATTTTTCCCCTTGCGATATTATTATAAATATCATTATTCTTGGGGATAGTGCTTCTTTCAATAAGACGATAATATAATAAACCGAATGAGGATATAGCCAATATGAACAATGACCACAAGATACAACATGTGATCAAAATGATAGTAGCTAATAAGTAATACCATACATTTGAAATGGAAAAAAAGTTTATGAGGAAATAGATCAATAGTTAAAGTTTAACTATATAGTACCAAATATTTTTTTTATTATAATGAACAATAAACCATACCACTGATTCTGTATCAACGATGGGAATGGTTTTTGTAGCTTAATAGTATTGTCAGAGACATTTAAGTTAAATAATTGTTATAATTAGGGCAATATGAATCTAGTTGCGTTACTAATAAGTTTTCAATTGGTCACACTTTTGAACATCAAACACAACATGTTGTGACATGTGTTGATGAAATAACTGGTGGAAAGATTAATTAACGAGCTTATACGACATGTACACACTATTATATCTGTTGTCTTATTTGTTTCACTACGTTATATAAAATATATTCAAGACTATGTAAGTAGCTGTATGGTAATAAGATTAAGAAGTAGATTATTGAAAATGGTTTTAATTGTGACAATTGGGTGATCAAGGTCTGATCTCCAAGATACACATAACCTTTCTTACGATTGAGGATAAATTTTGCTTACGAATGCCAAATGTCGTAAAAAGCTGATAAATGTGTCTGTCTGTTTTCTGCTTACTTCGCCAACATATTTCACTCAATATATTTTACAGTGTAACAACGAATTAACGTACTTATAAAGTGATTATTTTATTACTGATATACAAACGTACTGTCAGACAGTGTACGTCCATGGATTATTTTCGACGTGGTATATCCATATTTCGTGTAAGTACGTAATTGTATACTAACAAAAGAAAAGAAAAGAATTAAATATGTATGAGATGAGTCGTATACAAACTATTGATGATAGCCAAGAAGCAAAGAACAGTTTGTTTCTCTTGATTTAGGACCTCTTAACAAAATTTATTGATAAGTACACAAGAAATTGAACAAAATGCCGTCAAATACGCAAGTAAGCAAACAAATAAAAATCATAATTTCGTCAATACAAAGGATTGAATTATCTGGCTACCTGTCAAAATTGAATTGTTGTTTATGAAATGTAGTTTAGCTGTGGACATGGTCCTCCTGTGTTGTTTGCCTAGACGAAGAAAGAGTTGACAGATGATGTCAAATAGATTTTAAACTTTTGCTGAAATTATGAGAAATACTACCCATAAACAAATTTTTGATATGGACTGTGCTCACGCAGAAATATCAATACTGAATATTACCTCAAGTTTGAAAATTTAACATAACAAGGCCAGAAATTCAAGAACGACTTCTTGTTACAGGGAACATTATTTGATTAGTTGTCCACGAGCTCAGATATTATTACACTTGTTTCTAGACGGGATATGCCAAAGTCTTGATACACACAGGAGTTTCCTTTGCGAAATAACAGTCAATTAAACTGCAGCCATAATTCATAATAAAGTTAAACGACTTTACTTGTGATGTTAGGAATTATATTTAGTAAACTATTCGCTGGACGTTGACTGCTTTTCTTTATATTTGCAGCAATACGGAGAGATAGACCTGTATAGCTGATGGGAATAGGCGCTTGTAATATTTTAATCTCCAATACTTTTGGGTTTCGTAATGCAAGTGTATAATGCAATCCTTTTGCAGTCAACCGTCCCTGCTTTCCCTCAGGTGCCGAGGTCTTCATAATCCAGTCGACCACCAGAAGAAAGAGGGAGAGTAAGCAGCCTTGTCTGACTGCGGTCCTCACTTGGAATGCGTTTGTCAGCTGTCTTCCATGCACGACTTTGTCGTGAGGTCTGTCGTATGAATTTTGGATGATGTTGACTATCTTCTCAGGTACACCATAGTCTCGAACAACTTTCTATAAGGTTCTCCTATCCACACTGTTAAACGCCTTCTCATAGTCCATGAAGTTGATGTATAGTGACGAGTTCCACTGAATTGATTGTTCAACGATGATCCTTAGTGTTGCGATTTGGTCTGTGCACGACCAGCCCTTACGGAATACAACCTGTGGATCTCGAAGTTGGGCGTCTACTGAATCGTTCATCCAGTTCAGTAACACTATTTTTTCTGGTGCCGACAGTAGCGTGATGCATCTGTGGTTTCCATATTTGTCCAGATCTCCTTTCTTTTCTTCCTTGATGAGATATTCTTCTTTCCAGTCTATCAGCACTTGTTCCTCCTCCAAGTCTTCCTGAATAGAATGTGGGGCATCTGTGCAGTGGCTTCTGTCTGAATTCAGTGCTTCAGCTGGTATGTTGTCAGGTTCTGCTGCTTTCCCACTCTCGATTTGTATGATGGTCATCCTGATTCTTTCGATCGTTGGTGGAGTGACATTGATAGGAATGTCTGTAGGTGCTGCTTTGATATCCGGTAGATCCAATGGAACTAACCTATTTAAGAGTTCCTCAGTGTTCTACCCATCTGTTTCTGTGTTCTTGAATCTCATTGATTGTCTTGATTTCTTCGTCTTTGACTGGTCTCTATGGTTTACTATATTTCCGTGCCAGTTTCTTCGTTATATCATATGGCTGTCTGATATTTCCATCTCTTGCGGCTTTTTTCGTTGTCCTTGCTAGGTTTTCCATGTATTTCTGCTTGTCAGCTCGAATTTACTTCTTCACTTGCTTGTTTGCTTCTGCGTGGGCCTTGAATTTCTCTGCTCGCGATCGACTACTGTTTGCTGCTGCCTTCTTGAATCTTATCCAAGGTTTCCATAGAGATATATTCCTTATCAAAATAGTTCTTGCGACCCAGAACCTTCTGACATGTTGAATTTAGTCCTACGATTTACCATATTATTATTTTTTCTATATATGACTGTAAATGGTTGAAACGAAGACTAAAGGTATATTTCAAGTTATCAAAATACTTCTTGCGATCCAGAATCTCCTGACATGTTTAAGTTATTGCTCCTTTGATACCATCCCAATTGTCCTTTATTGTAGTTTCTTCTTCCTTCAGTCGATCCTGTTGTTGAGGACTAACCTGAATTCGATGAGTTTGTCAGTATCTCGTAGGTAGGTTATGTTGAAACTTTCTACTGCTG